CCACCAATGATTCTCTTAAAAACAACTTGTGTTCCAAAAGACTTGTTGAGATTTCCCTCTGTGAAAGTATTAAGATGTAGGTCTATGGCTCTCTATCCTGTATGTACTTTAGAATCACCTAGAGAACTTTTAAACAATGCTGATGCTAAGGGCCCTATCGAGTGAATCAAAATGCCTAGGAGGTGAGGGGTAGGGGAGAAGCCTGGCTCAGGGGTTTGTTTTTCCATTTCTTTCTTTTATTTGATAAAATATTATTTTTATTATTTTATTGCTGTTCAATTACAGTTGTCTGCATTTCCCCCCCCACTACTCCACCCCCACCCCAGCCAAACCCACCTCCCTCCCTTGCTTTCCCCCCTTCCCCCTTGGTTTTGTCCATGTGTCTTTGACAGTGGTTCCTGAAAACCCTTCCCCCCATTTTCTTCTCCCACCTCCCCTCTGGTTACAGTCAGATTGTCCTTAATTTCAGGTGCCTTTTCTTTTTCTTTTGTTGATTATGTTCCAGAAAGGTGAGATCATATGGTATTTTTCCCTCACCGCCTGGCTTATTTCACTTAGCATAATGCTCTCCAGTTCCATCCATGCTGTCACAAAGGGTAGGAGCTCCTTCTTTGTCTCTGCTGTGTAGTATTCCATTGTGTAAATGTACCATAGTTTTTTGATCTACTCATTTACTGCTAATCCCAAAACCAGATAAAGACATAACAAAGAAAGAAAACTTCAGGCCAATATCACTGATGAACATAGATACTAAAATCCTTAACAAAATATTGGTAAACCACATCCAGCAATATGTTAAAAAGATCATACACTATGATCAAGTGGGATTCATCCCAGGGATGCAAGGGTGGTACAATATTTGCAAATCAAGAAACATAATACATCACATAAACAAAAGGAAAGACAAAAATGATATGATCATATCAATACATGCAGAAAAAACATTTAATAACGTACCACACCCATTTATGTTAAAAACACTTAACAAAGTGGGAATAGAGGGAGCATTCCTCAACATAATAAAGACCATATATGAGAGACCTACAGCCAACATCATACTCAGTGGGCAAAAATTAAAAACTTTCCCACTAAGAAACAGGAACAAAGACAAGGTTATCTGCTTTCACCACTCCTATTCAATATAGTACTGGAAGTTTTAGCCACAGCAATCAGACAAGAAAAAGAAATAAAAGGCATCCAAATTGGGAAGGAGGAAGCAAAACTGTCATTGTCTGCAGATGACATGATAGCGTACATAGAAAATCCTATAGACTCCACCAAAAAACTACTCAGCCTAATAATTGAATTTGGCAAAACAGCAGGATACAAAGTCAATATTCAGAAATCGATGGCTTGGGTATTTCTTAAAAATGATCCCAGGTCACCTTAATTGTGTCCTGAGCCACTGGTATGGCCCAAAGAGAGCAAGCAGAGTGGACTAGGAATTCATCAGAGGCAGTTTTCTGGATGTAGTACTTAGGAGCTCAGATCCTGAGAGGAAGCATCTTGCACACTGTTTGTCAGGCTCAGGTGTAGGTTTAAGATGGGGGATATTTTCCAGGGATTAGGGGACTCCCAACTTTTAAGACACAGCCCACCCATCCGAGTATATGCTGGAAATGGTATGCTTGGAAACAGGGTAGCTCCACCCAACAGCAATTTAGTGTTTTTCTAACTATGGGTAGGGACAGAGGGTACAGAGCAGGACACATACCGAGGAATTCTGCCTAATGATGTAACTCCTGAACACCCACCCAGTCAACCTTGTGATATTCAGGCCATCCCAATGTTCCTCTTCCCTACTCACTCCCCACCTGTTGAACATATTATTTAGTCCTGAAATTCCACCTCTTTCAAGAAGTCTTGTTGGCTACATTAGATGTGGCAGAGCGAACAGTGTAATGGACTAAGAGTTAGAGGACCTCAATTTAAACTTTCCTACTTGCTAGCTCTGTGACCTTGGGCAAGTGACCTCACATCTCTGTGTCTCAGTTGTCTCATCTGCAAAATGGGGATCATAAAATCCATTAGGGTTGCTATGAGGATTAAAGAATTACTGTATGGAAAATGCTTAGAACTGTGGATGGTACATAAATAGTCAACTGATAGCTACTATTAATATTATTATTATTATTATTATTATTGCTGAAGTGTTAAGGGCTATGTTCCTGTTTCATACCCACCTACTTTATTTGCCTCAGCCCTCACCCACAAATGTGTTTTCCCTTCCATTTCTCTAATGGGTCCTTCAATCTCTTCTGCTGGCTGCTAAGCACTGATATTTCCCAAGCTGCTCTTTATACCCCCTTTTTCTTACCCTCTGTATTGTTCCCCTAGGGGAATCTCATCTGCTTACTTCCTCTATGATTTCAAGGATATGCTGACAATTCTAAAATAGTGTTTCGAGCCTCTGCTGCCCCCTGCCTCCTGTCCCTCTTCCTTGGACTTCCTGTCACAGTTACTTCATACTCAACATGTCCCAAAATGAGTACTAGAAATCTGGATTGCCATCCTGGACTCCTCTCTCTCCCTCACCTACCAAGTCCAATTAGTCACCAAGTCATTCAACTCCTGCTCATCCTGAATCCATCCCCTCTTCTCCATCATCCCTGCCCTCCACAAATTCAGGCCCTTATTGCCTTCTGCTTGAAATGGTGCAACCGCAATCTAACTGGTCTTCTCCATCCACACAGATACCAAAGGGATCTTTCTAAAACAAAAAACTGATGGTGTCATTCCTTTAACTCAATCCCTAATGACTCCCTACTGCCTCAAAGAGAAAGCTGTGAACAGGATCCCTCATGACATGGCCCTTGACTTTTTCTTCAACCTCAACTCCCACCATCCCCTGTACCCCCCATGTTCTACACTGCAGAAGTACCAAGCAACCTCCAGTCCTCATACATACCACATGCTATTCCACACTGCCACACTGAGTATGCTGTTCCCTTGGCTTACATATCCTCTCCCCTCCCTTGTTGTATTCATCCTTCAAGACTGAACTCCTTTTTAATGCCTCTGTGAAGCCATTCCTCACTCCTCATTGATCACTCTGACCTCAGACTTTGTGTACCTGGTACAGAACTGGGTCTCACACATTGAAATTATTAGTGTAAATGCTCATGTACCCTACAAGACAGGGCCCATGTCTTTCTCATTTGTTTATGTCCAGATTCTAGAACAATGCCTGGCATACAGTAAGTATCAATGAATGTTATTAAATGAAGGAATTAATGTACACTTCATTGTCCAGCTTTACATGTTTCCTGTTTATAATTGGCTGATAAAATTGTACAGCATTTTATAGTTTACAAAACACTTTACCTTGTATCATTAAATGAGTGCATGCAACCAGTACTTACTAGACACCAGTTCTGTTGGAGGCCACTGGAGTTGCACTGTCAGTAATGGAAGTGGGGTAGGGCTACCCGGGAAAGGATGATCAAGGAAGGTCTTCAAGCTAAAAGCAAGTAAGATCTAAAGAATGGAAGATGTAAGTAGAGAAAGAGAACAGCCTTGAAACAAAAGCAAGAAGGCCAGTGTGGCTGGAGCAGAGTAGGATAAACTGATTTATTCAACTGAACCTTAACTAATAAATGAGATAGGACAAATAATCTATAATTCAAACATTAAGTGATTTTCCCAACTGATGAAGGAAACTACTAAAATCCAGTCTCATCACTCCACACCATGCTTTCCCAAATCATCAGCTGCCGATAACACCTGTTTGGACAGACCTGCACTGTCCAATACAACATCCAGTTGTCATGTGAGCACCTGAAATGTGCACAGCTCATATCGATATGTGCTATAAATGAAGTACACACAGATTTTAAAGACCTACTATGAAAAAAATATCTCACTGATAATCCTTCGTAACGATAAACAGCATTTTGGATAATTAGGTTATATAAAATATATTATTAAAATTTAACATCACCTGTTCTTTTTACCACTATAAAAATGTTTAATTAAACATGTGGTTTGCCTTATGTTTCTGTTGGACAGCACTGGTATACAAACATGGTCTCGGTGTGTTTTTCTTAAACTACAAGCTCCCCAGGGCCAGCTCCTAGGTGATGACTACCCTTGCACCGCCCCGCCCCACTCCCAGTTTTAACTTCAGCTCTACGATCCTGTGTAGTATAACTTTTTTGAGCCTCAAGGGGTTTTTCATGCTTCCAATGGAACTAGCAGCCACTTCATGGGGCTCTTATGAAAGTTAATTAAACGGTCGACATTCCCGGGCAATACCAGCAGCCCCTTACGGGCCAGCTCACCCGGTAGCTCTCGAAGGCCTCGTCCACGGGCGCCAAGGAGTGGTCCTGGTGCTCCTGGGACTCCCTGCACACCAGGCACACGGGCCGCTGGTCGTCCTCGCAGAAGAGCCGCAGGGGCTCCCCGTGGCGGTCGCACAGGCCGCAGGTCTCGGGAGCCCGGTGCCGCTGCCGGTGCCGCGCCCTCTCCGCCAGCCGGGCCAGGGCCCAGTTGGGCCGCAGCGCGGCGGTGGAGGACGGCTGCCGGCACTCGGGGCAGGGGAAGCTGCCGGCGCCCTGTTCCGAGCTGTGGCGCAGGCAGCGGCGGCAGAAGTTGTGGCCGCACTCTATGGACACCGGATCCTGGAAATACTCCAGACAGATGGGGCAGAAAAGCTCCTCCTGCAGGTCCTCCGCAGCCATGGCGCTTCTCTTTCCCAGCGCCCGAGGCGGCCCGTGGCGAGCGAACCGGGAAGCTGGCGGCCGCACTTCCGGGACCGGGGGCTTCTGCCCGGCGCGGACCCGCCCGGAGGCGGCCCTTCCCTGCCCGGGGGTGGCGGGCAGCTCTGGAGCCGCGGGCTGTCGGTGCGCGGCTACCCAGGCCTGGACACCTGGCGTGACCGGACGTGGGCTGTTCCTACCGTGGACAGCAGAGATGTGGACAGACTCACCGATGGAGAGCAGGATGATAGCTAGTTGGAGGGGGTGGCGAGTGGGGGCAGGTTACCCATCTTTGAAGTCGGAGTGAAAAGGTGGCCTACGGCTCTTCCTAAGGGAGAGTGAGCAACACACCTACACGCACCGTCTTGTGCTCCATAACAGGATGCGTGGCAGGTTCCTGAGGCGGCTGGTGGCCGAGGAGAGCTGGTACTCCATCCCCGTGGGGCGCCTCCTTCTTCCCGTGCTCCTGGGGTTCCGCCTTGTGCTGCTGGCTGCCAGGGGGACTGGGGTCTATGGCGATGAGCAGAGCGAATTCGTGTGTCACACCCAGCAGCCAGGCTGCAAGGCTGCCTGCTACGATGCCTTCCACCCCCTCTCCCCACTGCGCTTCTGGGCCTTCCAGGTCATCTTGGTGGCTGTGCCCAGTGCCCTCTACATGGGTTTCACCGTGTATCATGGCATCTGGCATTGGGAAGACTCGGGAAAGGTGAAGAAGGAAGAGGAGACCCTGACCCAACAAGGACAGGGCAGCACAGATGCCTCAGGGGCTGAAAGGCCCAGGCTGCTCTGGGCCTATGTGGCACAGCTGGGGGTGCGACTGGTCCTTGAGGGGGCAGCCTTGGGGGGGCAGTACCATCTGTATGGGTTCAAGATGCCCAGCTCCTTCGCATGTCGTCGAGAGCCTTGCCTTGGCAGTATAACCTGCAATCTGTCCCGCCCCACTGAGAAGACCATTTTCCTAAAGACCATGTTTGGGGTCAGTGGACTCTGTCTCTTCTTTACTCTTTTGGAGCTTGTGCTTTTGGGCCTGGGGAGATGGTGGCAGACCTGGAAGCAAAAATCTTCCTCTTCTGACTGCTTCCCAACTTCAGAGAGCACCAGGAAACACAAGGAACCAAACGATAACTTCCCAGTGGTGGAATCAAAAGATCAGTTCTGAGTAGCAGGTGAGAAGGGCACTGATGTCCTTTTTACTTCTTTGACTCAAATTATAAGAGAAAATTTATTTAGTAAGTCACAGAGGTAGAAGAAATGAGCTCAGGGAACAAACTACAGAAGCAAAAGAAAGGCTCTTGCAGCTTAAGAGAGGAAGGTCAATGTAACACATCTGGAGGGAGAGACTGGGGAGGGGTGGGTCACTGTTCCCGGAGTGTTGGGTCCCTCTAGGACTTTTCATGGTGGAAGTCTTAGAGGAGGTCCCAGGGGCTGAACAGAAGATTCATCAGCTTTCCAGGTGTGTCCTTTCAGGGTCCTGGTCTACACTGATTATAGCACCAGGGCAGGGGGTCATCAGTCAATGCAGCTGGTCCTGAGGTCAGCTGTAGTATGGCTTCTCTGGTTTTGCTGCTTTTCTGGGCCTGGGGCTGAAATACAACTGAGGCCTAGATGTTATCTTTAGGGAGGAAAGTCTGTGGGTCTAAACTGCATAACCAGCAATGTCCTTGGGGAGGAATGTCACCCTGCTGGGCAAGATCTTTGTTTTCCCAGATTTGCCCCTTGCTAGGCACCTGGGGCCTTCTGCCCTGGTGACCCTCTGTACCTGACCCATTGTCTTTGCTCTGTTCATGTCTGTCTAATTGCTTACCACAGTTACAGTTCCAATGCAGAGCAATACAAATATGTAAATTATTGCAGTCTTAAAAGTAACAGCCAAATAATGTCTAAGTAAAATTTTTTGAAACCAACTTGGTTTTGACCATTGGAGTGGAGTTTTCTCTTTCCAAATGTCTTAGCTGTCATCAGGTTTGAGGGGTGAGGTTAAGAGTTGCAAGCTACTCTGGTGATTTAAGTTCTGGAGTCCTAGGCAAGCTACACCTAGGAGGGCATTGTGGGCTCTCCAGGAGGACTAGAGGTATCTATGTAGCTGGGCCTGGAGTGGGGCTAGCTGGGCCCGTTAGGCTTAGTGTCCCTGAAGCCGCTCTTTTTCAGCTTCATTCTCCAGGGAAAGGAACCTTTTCTCAGCCTCCAAATCCAAGGTCTAGTTGAGTTCCTAGAAAAGCAGGATATCCTGCTCCCCCACAAAACCCACCGACTCTCTGAAGCTCAGGAAACCTGAGAGCCAACTTTCCATAATACAAGCACGAGAGGAAGTGTTAAGCCCCATCTCCTGCCACCCTGATTTCCCTCTTTCTTACCAAGCATAGGAAACTCTAGGTAGAAGAAGTCCATTCTCAGGACATGGGGCACATTCACTCAATGCTGATAGAGGTTCTAGTAGTTAACTTGTTAGGGGAAGGAATCTAGGGTTAGATGGTCTTCTCCAGACTTGACTTTCCATCAGTGTTTTAGGTAGTTCAATTCCCAGAAGGTCTGCAGGCTGTAAGATGCTCTGAGCCAACTCTGGGAGATCTGCTGTGAGTGACAGTTGTCTAAGATGCTGGAAAGGAGCAAATCCTGCAGCTTCTGGTGCTGGAGCAGTTTCTGATCCTCCTCCTTGAGGAGGTCAAGACGAGGATGTGAGAGCAATGGCCAGAGAGTGGTGTAGCTGCTGTGAAGACATTGTGAAAGACCCGATAGCACCTGGAGGATGGATGAAAGGAAATGAAGTTTTTTAAGTGGGAATGGTTAAGATTCAGAAGCACAGATACATTGCCTTTTGGTACCCGGCTTGAAGACAGTGACCATTTTGCTATCCCAAGGAACATCCACTGAGGTTTTCAACAAGTAATATACTTGCCTACTTCAGGGAATTATCTGTTTCTCTTTAATAGATTTTCAACCTTGTATTTCTGAGGTGCTTTGTTTTTTTATTCTTCCCACTTTGTTCCTTTACTTATGAATGAAGTCTTTAATTCCTCTTGTGTCCCAATATCAGACACTGCCTTTCCCATAATATTCTCAATGAGTATTTACTGAATGTATGGCTAAATGATTGGAAAGGGGCTTTCTGCAATTTTTGTTTTGGGTTTTTTTATAAAAGTCCCATAGCATATCTAGTTTTAAAATGTTTAAATTATACAACTAAGAAGTGTATTTCTTCACAAATTGGGATGCTATATTGAGAAAGACTCATTGAGTCTTAATATAAACTGAAGAGGAAATGTTCTTATCAGTTACTGATGTTTGTCATGAATGTTTGTGAGGTGAGGGTGTGAGTATGTGTCTGTATGCCTGCCTGTGTATTTAGTGACAGAAACGAGTCACTAATGCGTGACTGTGTCTCATTAAGGTCCTATGTCTTCAGTCCTACCCTACTCCTAAAATGGATGTTTTTCTTTACTGAAAATATCAAGGTGCCCCAATTCACAATTTTATTCATCTGGAATTTCAGGGGACCCCAAATAGCCAAACAATATTGAAAAATAAGAACAAAGTAGAAGGACTCACACTTCCCAATTTCAAACTTGTTACAAAGCTACAGTAATCCAACATGTAGCACTGGCATACAGATAGAATAGACATCAGTGGAATTGTGTTAGGAAAATTTCCTGGGGCCAAGAGACTGGAGAAAGAGGCTGACAACTCCAGCATTACATCAAGAGTTTTTTAAAAAACACACACAAGGCACATCTTGGGCAGCAGCAAGACAACATATATATCCTCCATGCCACATGGCAGGCACTGAAGGGTTTTCTAGCACAGGTCAGGAAGGATAGTGGTACTGGGGTGTGACCAGCCCCAGATAAGGGGAAAACATCTGACATGCTTTCCCAGGGTAGGGCAAAGGCCTGTTTCAGGAACCAGCATGCCTGGGGTACAGTGTTGGGGTTGATCAGACATTTTCTGAGGGGATTTATGGGAAGCTATCTCTGTTCTGGTCCAGATCTAGCTGGATCTAGCTTAAGGATCCAAAGCAGTCACATATGGGACATTCTCTCCTCCAAAAATAAAACTAAGAATACAGAAAATTTTTCATATATCTATAAGCAATTGATTTTCAACAAGGGTGCCAAAGCAATGTTTGGGGTTATAGAGGTTTGGGGATAATAGCTGAGGCTCATAGAGTTTCCTTTTGAGTTGATAAACATTTTCTAAAATTGTTTGTGTTAATGGATGGACAACTCTCTGACAATACTAAAAGCCATTGAATTGTATACTTTAGTTGGATGAATTATATGGTACATGAAATATATATACGTGTGTGTGTATCAGTAAAGCTGTTTAAAAAGGGATGCTATGAAGGAGGAATTACAAATGATGACATTGGCCTTTTTCCATTCTTTCTCACTTGGCTGGGTTCTCGCTATAGCAGGTAAGGGATTCTTTATGAAACACTTATGTAGCAAAAAGAAAAATTATTGTTTTACTAGTTGTTGCCGAAGTGTCTCTTGGGGAACCAAATAGCTTTCCTTAGGGGTGTGCCTTCTTAATTTATTTGGGGATAATTTAGGATTGAGGAGGAGAAAACAAAACTAGGTAACTACTCTTTGTTGAAAATTCAAGGACAAGGAAGAACTGAAGAGAGAGGTGTTGCTGCAAAAAGGTGGGAGGCCAGAACACTCTTGGACAGAAATGACTGAAAAACTCAAGAAAAGAGAAACATACTATTCATTCAGCTTTAAAATACCTCCCAATCACACTATGATGTAAACATCCCTGTTACCCCTGAATCAGCAGCTGAACTCTACCAGCTTGTCTGTGTGGTATTGAGGGATATGAGTTTAAAAAATAGGGACTTAGCACCACATATAAGGTGCTGCTGTGTTGGAGCCAATGCAGCAGCTGTCATGAACCAAGAAGAGATTGAGAACTGAGCAGAAATCAGAGCTGTCAGTGGTCCAGGGGACATAATCCACTGAATTCACAGTAATCTTCCTAAAGGTTGTGGCCGAGTGTTTGGGTAAATCTAATCTATATATAGATGCTGGACACTGCATTATATATGCTTGGAAGGCCAGAGTTTCTGGATAAGACATATACAGCAAGACTGGGTATTCAGGGTTACAGGACTTCGAATTTGCAGGAGTAGAGAGTGTGGAAAAACAGGAGAGAGATAAGTAGAGTCACTGAGCCAGGAAGGAAATTGTCTTTAGCAACAAGAATACCACCAACAGTAATCAATCTTTATTTGCACCGGACAAAGGAGAGGCATGGTTTTGTGGAGGTTTCTGCTGGCTGACTCTGGAACAAAGTCCATAAAAATTGTGATGCTGGCACCAGAGAATTCTGGTGAGAAGGCACAAGCAGTAGTTCTTCAGGGAAATGCTTTAAGCAGCATGGCCCACCATGGCCCTTAGAGATGCTTCAACAGCCTCTAACTTGTCACAGACGTTAATCCCCACTCACTAGGTGTTGGGGAGAAGATCCAGTCGTAGGGTTTCCTTCAGAGTTGAGCCAGGTGTCTTTATAACTCTGCAAAGTAGAGAATCAAGCAGAAGCTGAGACTTTTTCTAAATGGGAAGAGATTTCGATGGAAGGACAAGGAGTTACAACAGAGCACTCTGGTCATGGTTCATCAGAAGGAGTCATCAGATTGACAGTCATGGGGCTTGGCTGGGAGCAGAGGTCAGAAAATCTTCCTGGAACCTAGTTTTCTACTTTGTTTGTTGAATTTATAGGAGTGGCATTGGTTAATACAATTACATAGGTTTCAAGTGCACAGTTCTATAATACAGCATCTGTAAATTGTATTGTGTGTTCACCAACCCAAGTTAATTCATCACCATTTATGCCCACTATACCGACTTCTACATTTCTCCACCCCCTTTTCCCTCTGGTAATCACCAAGCTCTTGTCTGTGTCTATGGATGTTTTTTGTTTGGTTTGTTTTGCTTAATCCCTTCACCTTTTTCTACTTTGTAACATGTGGAAGTTGTACTTCCCAGAGAATAAGGGACTTGCCAAAGGGAATCATCAGGACAAAGACACCAGACAAAGAAGAAAAAAGGACATCAGTGCCCTGCTCACCTGCTGTTCGGAACTGGTCTTTTGATTCCACCACTGGGAAGTTATCGTTTGGTTCCTTGTGTTTCCTGGTGCTCTCTGAAGTTGGGAAGCAGTCAGAAGAGGAAGATTTTTGCTTCCAGGTCTGCCACCATCTCCCCAGGCCCAAAAGCACAAGCTCCAAAAGAGTAAAGAAGAGACAGAGTCCACTGACCCCCAAACATGGTCTTTAGGAAAATGGTCTTCTCAGTGGGGCGGGACAGATTGCAGGTTAT